ATATTGTTATTTTAAACATTTACATTAGTCTCGCCTTTGAAATATCATTAATATGTTTAAATAGAATTTTATGGTACAATTTAAAAATAGTTTTAAATATAATTACAACAGGTTTTGCTATATTTTATGACCTTGGGGAAAATTAACTTTATAATTCTAGTCAGTATTTTTTTTCCCCCACAATTTATGGAGCACAGATATGTTATCTTCTTGGGAAGAGCAGGGAATAATGAATCTAGGAAATCTACTATGGCTCATAAAGAAATAATTTCATCATTTATTTTTTTTCTCTACAATTGCTCATTGTAGCCATTTTCTCTGAGTCTGAGAGGAAAAGAATCCCCAAATTGCACATAATTCCTCAGTACTTGTTTCATCAATAGTTCATGAAGGTGACTTCAATCCTACTGATAGGGTTGTCATGCTAGTTATTTCTCATCTGGACCAGCAACAGAACTTTCAACATCTTGCATCAGATGCAAATATCAGAAGCCCTGTAGAAAGTTGTTCTCTCATTATTATTAGTATTCTGAAGAGCTGTGTTTGTTTTTTTCCAGAAGTATTTGGGCACAACTCCTTTTTAGTCTGACTTTATTTATACTTTGTGGATAATTACAAACTAAGTATAACATTGATTAAATTAGGAATCCCAAGACATTTATGTTCAAGCAAATTCTAAGTATAAACTGAGAAGCAGTTGTAGGAAACTAATAAGGTAACACTGCTTGGTTTAAAATCAGGAAAAATTGTGACCTTTCCCTAAATTGTAGGCTGTGCATATTTAACTTATAATATGAGAAGTTGGAAAATATAAAGAAGGTGCTTCTCTACTTAAGGAAGTCCCATCAACAACCTGTGTTTTACAGAGAAGCCAACTTTGCTTGAATAGAGGAGACTTGAAGCACTTTCTGTAGAAAATTAAAAACTACAACCTTCATTATGGATTATATCTGAACATCAAGAAAACAAATATCCTCAGACTGGACAAGTAGGCAGCATCATGAGATGTGGAGAAAAGAAGTTGTCAAGTTGTACTTGGTTGGATCCATTATCAAAATTTGTGGTACAGCAGTGTAGAAGTCAAAATTATGTGTTGCATTGGGAAATTTTGCTGTCAAGGATCTCTCCAATTTCTAAATAGCAAGCATGTCATTGTAAAGACGAAGGAACACCTGATCCAAGACATGTTTTTTCCAGTTACTTCCTACACATCTTAAAGTTGGAAAATGAATAAGGATAAGAGAACAAAAAATGATTCCACTGCATTTTTGTTAGAGAAGAATATGGTATTTTCCATTAACTCTCACAACAGCAAGGAAGTCTGTCTTAAAGCAACCAAGGTGCTCCTTAGAGGCTAGGATGGTGAATGTGATAGACCCATGAAACAATCACAATGTATGTAACTGCTTCTGTTTTCAGAGAAATAGGAAATTAATGTATTTACGTCTGATGTTTGACCGTTAAAACGGAATGTTTTTCTCTCTCTCATATTTATACCTGGAGGTGAAAATATGTTTTTAGTACTTTCATTTTTTCTTTTTTACTCTCCCCTCTTGATGCACGCTTTCTTCTCCTAAACTGACCCATCCATCAATGCAACCCTTTCTACTGAATGGTGTCATATAGTTAATGTTTAATTATATTTTCTTTTAGAATATTTCTTCCCCAAATCTGTTCTACTACAGTGTTCATTATCTATCTACTTTTTCCCCATTCTCTGCCCATCCTACCCTCATCTGTCCTATTTTATTACAGTGATGTTGACTGGAGTATTTCACTGAGCATATGTCCTCCAGACTCTCCCATGCTGTGTAATGCCTTAAGAGTTTGTTATTTTTCACTGTTGCATAATACTCCATTGTGAACGCACCATAGTTTTTCCATCCATTCTTTTGTTGTTGGGCATTTGGGTTCCTTGCCCTCTGGAATTTTCTCTTGAATGATCAATGTGTGAATGTGGATTCTGCATGCAAAGCTGGCTTTTCTGCCATGATTTATCTCACTGAGTGACCTCTGCCCTATGTAGTAATACCCTTGTCTTTTCAGATCATTTACGCACCAGAATGGTCTTTGATGATTAAATATTTGACACAAGGAATTGAGTGTTTTTCATTTCCTTCCTTTTTTACTTTTTAGCTCTTTTGAGATTCCTGGTCATATTCTCAATAATGGCGCACCAAATTTTACAGTCAGCCATTAGGAAACACCTACATAAAGACATAATGACAAGACTAATTCCTCTTAGAAGTTAGCATTATGGAGCCTTGTGCTACTGTCATGTTACAAGAGCAGGACTATAGCTGAGGCTCCCCAGAGGTGCACAACTAGAGCTGGATCTCAGAATAGGACTCTCTTGTAGAGTAGTGAGCAGCCAGCAGGGGGAGCTCAGGGCCCACAGAGCACATGGTGGCCACAAAGCAAAGAGAAGGGATGAAGGGTGTTTCCTGTAGGGTCTGGCTTTCTTCCTGGGGTTCAACATAATCTTCTCTTTTATGTGGTAACTTTTAGGATAAAACCTTGTTCTGCGGGTACCTCCCATATATATCGCACGTGACCTCTTTATACAAAGAGAAAACACATCGGAACATGTATATTTCCTTTTGCTTGTCAAGATGCCTGGTGAGTCCCTAAGAGCTTTGGTCTATTATCTAAATTAGGTAGGAAGTATTTCCTTGAATTTAAAAAAAGAAAGAAATATAAGGCCTAGTGGAACTGGAGTATAGATAAATACTGGGCAATCTATATCTGTCCATTGAAGAATGTCAATGTAACTTAAATATTTTTCTTTTTCCTTGGTTATAAAAAAGATTATAGAGTTTAACCTACATGCCATGGTCTTTGCTATCACTTGTTATGCATCAGAGAGTTGGACAATGACTAAGGAGGATAGAAGGAGAATTGATGCCTTTGAGCTGTCGTGCTGGAGAAGAGTATTGAGGGTACCATGGACTGCTAGGAAAACAGATTCATCCTGGAAAGGGTCAAACCAGGCTGCTTCTTGGAGGCAAGGAGGAGAAGACCCTCTATGTGGTGGATTGATTCAGTGACTGGGTAATCGGGATGGGTGTATCAAAGACGGTGCGATTGGCACAGGACAGAGCAGAGTTTAGGGCTGTGGTACATAGGGTCGCTATGAGTCACAAGAGACTCGAAGGCACATAACAACAACAACAGCAACAGCAACAACAACCTACTCACGTTTTTGATGTACAGAGACAAAGTTGTTGGTTTTTTTTTTTTTTCTGGGAAGTGTGTATTTTAGCAAATTGAGGGATTAAAAACTATGCTAGTTCAGCAGATACGTATTTTTTGTCCAACTGCTGAAACCTAAAATCTGTCCAATCTTAAAAAAAAAGACCTCTGTGATTTCACGTCTCCCATCCTCACTCCTCTGCTCCCACTCCTTCTCCCCTTGGATCCTCATACATGTTTTGCTGGTTATCTTTCTACTTTTACAATGTAAGGGCAATAGAAATGATCTGGTGAGGACCTAAAAAGGCAGAGCAATGGTGGTCATGGTTCAATGGTGATTAATCTTACAAAACATAATGAATGAGTATGATTGCATGAAGCACAGTGGGAATAATAATACTGTCAACAATTTCACATCTTATTTGAATCTATAATCAATACCCTTGGTTCGGTCGTTGTTGTATCTATGTGACTTCTAGTTGGCTTGACTCATAGCGATCCTATGCACAAAAACTCTCAACCCTGCTCTATTTTGAGTCAATTTCACTGTCTCTGACACACCTATCCTCATTACCCTAGTCCTTGAGTCAATTAATCTCATCCAGGATCTTCCTCTCTTGCCCTGTCCCTGCAACCTTCCAAGCATGATGTCTCTCTCTAAAAACTGGTCTCTCATTGCAACGTGCCCAAAGTATGTCAGATGCACCTTCAAAGTACTTGCCTCCAAGGAGCAGCCTGTTTTTATCATATCCAGAATGGAATTGTTTGATATCATAGGGGTCTATGTTTTCAATGCAATTTGTCTTTTCATTTCCTTTGTACTAGCAGTCAGGAAATCAGGAGATGGGAACATCTGCAATTAGGGAACTCTCCAAATTATTGAGGAGTAATGGTGCCATGTTGAGGATGAAGGTGCACCTGATTCAAGTTATGATCTTTCTGATTACTTGTTATGCATCTGAGAGCTGGACAAGGAATAAGAATGACAGAAGAAAAATTGAAGCTTTTGAGCTGTGATATTGGAGAAGAAAGCTGAACATCTATGGATGACCAAAAGAACAAGCAAATATGTCTTGGAGAGTGTGCAGCCAGAGTGCTCTTTGGAGGCAAAGATGATAAGGCTTTCCTTAGAGAGGAACACAATGCTTGGAAATGTAGAAGGTTGGTGAAGGAAAGGAAGACCCTTGGTCAGGTGGATTGATATAACTGTCACATTGGGCTCTAATGTGTCAGAAAGTGTGAGAATGACACAGGACAGAACAGGGCTCAGATCTGTTGTCCATACTACTCACTATAGGCTGGACTTGATTCAATGACACCTAACAACAATAATAATTCATTCTAACAGATCCACTTGGATGTTTTTCTATCTAGTAACAAATCAGAATTTTTTAACTCTAACCATTGCTTACACCTTACATCTAGACAGAAATAAGTATGGGAGCAAGAACACAATGATTCTGTTTTCTCTCTTCCCAACCATTTTCTGTGTTCCTCAGTGAGAAGGGATCTCCACACACAGTAATTCAGGAACTTGTCAGCAACCCACAACCTCAAATAGAACTGATGTCATCAATCCGCTCTGGCTTGCTTTCTTGCCATTACTTTGTGATGTCATTTAAGTAATTTTAAAGCAAACATATTCCTGTAAATTTAAATCTTGACAGATTCTTTTATGAATATGCAAACAAACAAAGGTCTACTAGGTTAAATATAGATATGTCTGTGTTCCAAGAACATCACCCCACAACAGGCACCCTCACCCCACCCTGTACACACACAAGCCTTGAGAACACAGCTGTCTCACCATGGACTGGAGCTGGAGAATCATCTTCTTCATGACAGCAGCTACAGGTCAGGGGGTCCCTAGTCCCTGGGAGGAGGACAAGACTGTGGATATTGAGAAGGAATTTCATTTAACCCTTTTGTGTTATCAATAGGTGTCCACTCCGAGGTACAATTGGTGCAGTCTGGACCTGAGTTGTCCAAGCCTGGGGCATCAGTGAAAATCTCCTGCAAGGCTTCTGGATACACCTTCACAAATCATGGTTTGAACTGGGTGCAGCAAACCCCAGGACAAAGGTTAGAGTGGATAGGATTCATTAATACTAATACTGGTGGAACAGACTATGCACAAAAATTCCAGGGCAGAGTCACCATGACCAGAGACACAACCACAAGCACAGGCTACATGGAGCTGAGAAATCTGAGCCCTGACGACACGGCCACCTATTACTGTGCAAGATACACAGTGTGTAAACCACACCCTGAGTGTGGCAAAAACTCTGACTGAGAATGCAGCTGTATTGGCAAAGGAGGGAACAGTGATACGTAGACTGCAGGTCATCTTATGTTGGGGTTGAGTAGTTATAAAAATTGGAGAATGGCAATGTGTATTAATTCCAGTTAGATGTTGTTATTGTTGTTTTGTACTATCAAGTTGGAATTTACCCATAGCAGCCTCTCCGGTAGGTTTTCAGATACAGTACATTGTTTTAGTGGAGATTGCCTTTCTTTCTCCTGTGAAGCAGCTGGGGGATTCCAACAGCACGTATTTGGGTTGTCAGTGAATTTCTTACCATGAGACTAGCAGAGAGGATTTCAAATACACAAATTATTCAGGAAGAAAATTTACGTATGTCGTGGGATCATTTGCTTTAAGGCCTTCTCATTTATTTTTATTCCTAGTTTAAAACAAATATGAAATGAGTTTTCAGCCTTGATAGATGTTAAAGTTATGATGTTTGACTGGCAGAATTTCTCTCAGTGTATTGCTGAGGTTTGTTTTTACTGAAAACTCCTGAAGTTGTGCAGGTTTTGGCTTGTGCATGGAGCCTTGAGAAGGAAAGATAGTGTAGCCCCTGTAGGCGTTGACAAGGATAGAATATTCTTCATCACCCAACAGAAAATAATTCCACTTCTGCTTAAGATCCAAGACACAGTTGACTTTGTACATCATCCAGCACTCAAAATTTTCAAATGAATTCACTCATATTTGCATGGGTTTTTATTGTGTCTTTATATATAAATACATACATACATATACAGATAAAGAATTGACTTTGTCCTGTAATCTGCAGATAATTCATTACAACATATAGAATACATACAGCTTTTTAAAAGGATAAACTGATACAACAGTAATGACAGTTTACAAATGATAACGATCTGACGAAAACCGTGTGGTTGAAGCATGGTTGGCCTGAGGGGATGAGGACTGGGGAAGCACCATGTGTTTTCAACAGCATGAAAACACAGTTCAATTCCATGGTGCCAATCCCTTCTTTGCTGACTGAATGCTTTGCCAAAACTCTACTTTTGGCTTCTGTTTTTGAAGTGGTTGTTTCTGTTACCTCCTCCAGGTCGCTGACCCCTGAAACCTCTCTCTTCCTCTGCTTCAGTCCTGTCATCCTCTAAAGAATCTGCTTCCATCCCACAGTCCCTGGAATCCTCTACCACCTTCTCTTGGCCCCCTGGAGCCTTGAAATCCTTCTCCAAGTCCCTCCAGCTTTGGCTGGCCAACGGCCATTGAGAGCTGCCAGCACAGCTCTACTTCTGTTACTATTGCAGTAGGGACATCATGCAAATACCCAATTTTCCTTTGAGGAAGATCATCACCTCCATTTTGGAATCAGTATCTTTGCCCAGCTGCTCTTTTAGCTCTTTCTAAGCATAGCTGATGTTTAAAATTTGAATTAAGCACTCTAAATTCATGGCCACAAAGCCCATATCCACAGTGACTAAGCAGCACTGGTCAACCGTCACGGTCTGGGAAATGTGGGTTAGTGCTTCTGCCAGGACTTCCACAGATTCTTCTCATTTATGAGTGTCTCAGCTGATGAGTTGAAGTGACTTATGGCTTAGGAGGCCCAGAATCCAAATACCCTATGGCACTTTTGTTGGAAGCTTTTATCATTTCTGTTGCAGAAGATAAACTTATTGATTTAAACTTAACTCCTGCCTTTTGTTTCAAGTGCGCCAATTAATATTCTTCCTTGTACTGATAAAAGCAGACATAAACTCCAGTCCTTCCAGCTCTACAATGAATGACTTCACGTCCTTTGGTGGACAGCTTTGTTCAACCAGATCAACTTCAGGGATATCTAATCCACACACAGCAACATTAGTTGCAACCAAAATGCCAAGATCGAAATTTTTTAAAACCTTTCGGGGTGATTTCCCTTTGCTTCTGTGGAAGGTCTCCATGTAATGACTAGAAACTGTGCTTGTCGGATGCTTCCTGGAACAGCTCCTAGTCTTCCTTCTTGGTTTCACAGAAGATAATCCTGTGCTCTTGATAACCAGTGTACCCTGGATAGTATCTCCAATGACCTCTGCCCTCTGTGTCCAAAGGCCCTTGATAACCAGACAGCTCCACAGTTCTTGCTGTTTTGTGAGTCTTTTTACTTATCATTTCCACATGCTCCTGTGTAGTTTTTATGTATTTCTCAACAACAATAAATACTCAATGCATTTAAAGGCACGTTGCAGAAAAAAGTGATGATTAGGGATTGTGTTCTCCATCTTTCCTGTATGCCACAGATAAAATCTTTTAGTTGATCAGTACAACGCATATGCATCATCTGGTCAACTTCATCCAGGAAATCCATGCTTAAGTTTGTTGAGGTCTAGCTTGCCATTCTGTAGGTGGTCTTGGATACACTTGGTGTCCCAACCAGAATGTCAATCTATTCATCACGTGATCTAGTTGATCCCCATATGGTGTTCCACCATAAAATCAAGCCACTAACAGGGTCTTTTTTGTGACATAATGCGTACTTGATTTGCTGAGTCTCTTGAAGGTGCAAGAGCAGCCTCACTTTCTCTCTTGCAGACCCTGAAGTCTCTCAGTCAAGGGTCTAGAAAAGGAGAATGTCTTCCAAATTCCAGTCTGTGCCTCTGCAATTAAGTCTTTCCCACCATAATCCTGATGAACCATTTTTACTTGTGTAGGAAACAGAAAGTTCACTCCTCAGGTTTTGAGAAGTTCAACAGTCAGAGACAGGAAAAGTGGAGTAAGCTCCTTCTTTTTGTTCCCCTGTTATTTCCTGTTACAGTTTGTTGTTCCTGTCTTCACACGTGGATTCATAGATGTTAGGGGCAGGATCAGAATGAGGGAGTCTATTCCTTAGGTTGGGTTTGTGTTCGCCCCCACCCCCACCCCCTTCTAATCTCTCCATTCATTGCCTTTTCTTTCATTATTTTCTTAGGTTTAGAAGCATACATTTCTTCTTCAAAAGTTTTCTCATTTTTTGTTGGCTTTTTAAGTTTTAAAAACCTTTAAAAAGAAGTAACATTATCTTCAAATTATACTTTTTTTTCTTTTTAAACTTTTGATTTTAGGAGAAATACTGCCATATTGAGATCACTACTCTTTCTTTTTTACTGTTTTAGATTTGGGAGAATTTATTTTAACTTCAGAAGACTCTGCTTTCTTTTTCATCTTTTGAAGTTTGGGAGAAATAATGTCTTCTTTCTCTTCTATTGAATATTCAGTCTTAATAGATTTTGACTTCTCTTTCTTAGCTTTCTTTTCATTGTGTTTGCTCTATGTCTCAAATTTTCTCATGTCCATACCTTTTTCCAAAGTGGCATCAGTAAAGAGTTTTTCCAGCCTCACTCAGCACCATCTTGGAAACATGACCCAACAATTTGGAGAGGAAGAAATAAGACTTACATTTTCAGGTTTTCTTCCTTATTAATTTTCTGTTCCTAGGTTCACAAGATCTGTTAATGACATGTTCTATTTTTCTTCCATAACCTATGTTAACCTACTTTTCCACCTTCTGTTACTGCACTGAGAAGTGAAAATAACAAGTATTTTTTCTCTTTCTCCATCATTATTTACACACACACACACACACACACACACACACACACACACACATTCTGTTGTTTTTAACAGTTCTAACTCTCAGTACATAGGGTCGCTATGAGTCACAAATGACTCGACGGCACATAACAACAACAACAGCAACTCTCAGTAAAATTGTGATTGTACAGAATTGCTTTACAGACTTTCCAAGGCTGATTTTTAATTTTTTTTTTTTTTGCAAAACAGATTGCTAGCCTAGCAATTAACAATGGAGCCACCAGAGCTATTACATCATAGTTTTACGACTGTTGTTTGTAACTGTCTGACATCTACCTCTCCAGTGCAATTTTAGAGTCAGTAAAACTCATGGGAGGACATTACCCATCTTTCTTCCACAGAGCACCTGGTGGATTTGAACTGGTTGCCTTTGTGTAGACAGCACGTATTCTTACTACTAGACAACTAGAGCTCCCTGAATGCCAGTGCTGTTATTGTTGCTGTTGTTGTCTACCATCAATTCAGAACTGACACATAGCTGACCCTCCAGTGAGTTTTAAGTGACAGGTAATCTCAGAGGAGGAGATTACTTATCCTTCTCCTGTGGAGCAGCTTGTGGACTCAAACTGTGTGCCTTTGGGATTGCAGTGCAGCATCTTTCCACCAGGCCACCAGAACTCCTAGACATTAGAAATAAAAGAACAAGATAAGAGTGAAAAGAAATGAATAAGAAATAATAAGATAAAACTTGGAAGAAAACAGGAAAGAGATAAAATGAATTAACAAGACTAGAAATTTTTTCCTTTGAAAGATTTCATAATATTGAAAATTCACTGGAAAAATTAACATGTAGAAAGGAGATGGTGGGAATAATAAGGGATAAAATGAAAGGTTTGAGGAATAAGGAATTAAATGAGTGATGTAATAACAAAACAAGACAAAAATAGTAGAATACCATGAGGAAATACAGTCTAATAAATTACAAAACTTAGAGGAAATGGAAAAATTTCTAGAAATTCATTGCCTACTCAAACTAAAAAGATGGAGGTACAATATTTTAACAGTATTCTTAGAAAAGAAGTAGTAGAACAGGTTGTAAAAACAATGCACAACAGACAGATTTACAATGAATTCTACAACCATTCAAACAAGAGTTGACATCATTTTTCCCCCAATCTATTTAGAAAATACTTTCCTCCCCTTGGTTTTTAATCTTTTTTTCTTTTTTGTTCCAAAATACTTCTCTTGTAAAAAAAACAAGAAACAAACAAACCCATAATTATATGTCAGATTCCTTGCTTATTCTGCTATTTCATTTCTCTTTGCTGGTGCTTTTAACCTGTTCACATTCAGTGAAACTATCAATAGTTATGGTTTTACTGTTACCTTCTTGTTGTATTCTTTTCTGAGGTTTTGGTGATTTCTTGGTTCCATAGAGTTTTCTGTGCCAGAATTTGCTTTGCTCATTTTCTTTTCATATC